CGCGCCCTCTGGTGGCCGGACTCGTGCAGCGCTCCCTCTGGTGGCCGGACTCGTGCAGCGCTCCCTCTGGTGGCCGGACTCGTGCAGCGCGCCCTCTGGTGGCCGGACTCGTGCAGCGCGCCCTCTGGTGGCCGGACTCGTGCAGCGCTCCCTCTGGTGGCCGGACTCGTGCAGCGCGCCCTCTGGTGGCCGGACTCGTGCAGCGCTCCCTCTGGTGGCCGGACTCGGGCAGCGCGCCCTCTGGTGGCCGGACTCGTGCAGCGCGCCCTCTGGTGGCCGGACTCGTGCAGCGCGCCCTCTGGTGGCCGGACTCGTGCAGCGCTCCCTCTGGTGGCCGGACTCGTGCAGCGCGCCCTCTGGTGGCCGGAGTCGTGCAGCGCGCCCTCTGGTGGCCGGACTCGTGCAGCGCGCCCTCTGGTGGCCGGACTCGTGCAGCGCGCCCTCTGGTGGCCGGACTCGTGCAGCGCGCCCTCTGGTGGCCGGACTCGTGCAGCGCGCCCTCTGGTGGCCGGACTCGTGCAGCGCGCCCTCTGGTGGCCGGACTCGTGCAGCGCGCCCTCTGGTGGCCGGACTCGTGCAGCGCTCCCTCTGGTGGCCGGACTCGTGCAGCGCGCCCTCTGGTGGCCGGACTCGTGCAGCGCTCCCTCTGGTGGCCGGACTCGTGCAGCGCGCCCTCTGGTGGCCGGACTCGTGCAGCGCGCCCTCTGGTGGCCGGACTCGTGCAGCGCGCCCTCTGGTGGCCGGACTCGTGCAGCGCGCCGTCTGGTGGCCGGACTCGTGCAGCGCGCCCTCTGGTGGCCGGACTCGTGCAGCGCGCCCTCTGGTGGCCGGACTCGGGCAGCGCGCCCTCTGGTGGCCGGACTCGTGCAGCGCGCCCTCTGGTGGCCGGACTCGTGCAGCGCGCCCTCTGGTGGCCGGACTCGTGCAGCGCTCCCTCTGGTGGCCGGACTCGTGCAGCGCGCCCTCTGGTGGCCGGACTCGTGCAGCGCGCCCTCTGGTGGCCGGACTCGTGCAGCGCGCCCTCTGGTGGCCGGACTCGTGCAGCGCGCCCTCTGGTGGCCGGACTCGTGCAGCGCTCCCTCTGGTGGCCGGACTCGTGCAGCGCTCCCTCTGGTGGCCGGACTCGTGCAGCGCGCCCTCTGGTGGCCGGACTCGTGCAGCGCGCCCTCTGGTGGCCGGACTCGTGCAGCGCGCCCTCTGGTGGCCGGACTCGTGCAGCGCTCCCTCTGGTGGCCGGACTCGTGCAGCGCGCCCTCTGGTGGCCGGACTCGTGCAGCGCTCCCTCTGGTGGCCGGACTCGGGCAGCGCGCCCTCTGGTGGCCGGACTCGTGCAGCGCGCCCTCTGGTGGCCGGACTCGTGCAGCGCTCCCTCTGGTGGCCGGACTCGTGCAGCGCGCCCTCTGGTGGCCGGACTCGTGCAGCGCGCCCTCTGGTGGCCGGACTCGTGCAGCGCGCCCTCTGGTGGCCGGACTCGTGCAGCGCGCCGTCTGGTGGCCGGACTCGTGCAGCGCGCCCTCTGGTGGCCGGACTCGTGCAGCGCGCCCTCTGGTGGCCGGACTCGTGCAGCGCGCCCTCTGGTGGCCGGACTCGTGCAGCGCTCCCTCTGGTGGCCGGACTCGTGCAGCGCGCCCTCTGGTGGCCGGACTCGTGCAGCGCTCCCTCTGGTGGCCGGACTCGGGCAGCGCGCCCTCTGGTGGCCGGACTCGTGCAGCGCGCCCTCTGGTGGCCGGACTCGTGCAGCGCTCCCTCTGGTGGCCGGACTCGTGCAGCGCGCCCTCTGGTGGCCGGACTCGTGCAGCGCTCCCTCTGGTGGCCGGACTCGTGCAGCGCTCCCTCTGGTGGCCGGACTCGTGCAGCGCGCCCTCTGGTGGCCGGACTCGTGCAGCGCTCCCTCTGGTGGCCGGACTCGTGCAGCGCGCCCTCTGGTGGCCGGACTCGTGCAGCGCGCCCTCTGGTGGCCGGACTCGTGCAGCGCGCCCTCTGGTGGCCGGACTCGTGCAGCGCGCCCTCTGGTGGCCGGACTCGTGCAGCGCGCCGTCTGGTGGCCGGACTCGTGCAGCGCGCCCTCTGGTGGCCGGACTCGTGCAGCGCGCCCTCTGGTGGCCGGACTCGTGCAGCGCTCCCTCTGGTGGCCGGACTCGTGCAGCGCTCCCTCTGGTGGCCGGACTCGGGCAGCGCGCCCTCTGGTGGCCGGACTCGTGCAGCGCGCCCTCTGGTGGCCGGACTCGTGCAGCGCGCCCTCTGGTGGCCGGACTCGTGCAGCGCTCCCTCTGGTGGCCGGACTCGTGCAGCGCGCCCTCTGGTGGCCGGACTCGTGCAGCGCGCCCTCTGGTGGCCGGACTCGTGCAGCGCGCCCTCTGGTGGCCGGACTCGTGCAGCGCGCCCTCTGGTGGCCGGACTCGTGCAGCGCTCCCTCTGGTGGCCGGACTCGTGCAGCGCGCCCTCTGGTGGCCGGACTCGTGCAGCGCGCCCTCTGGTGGCCGGACTCGTGCAGCGCGCCCTCTGGTGGCCGGACTCGTGCAGCGCGCCGTCTGGTGGCCGGACTCGTGCAGCGCGCCCTCTGGTGGCCGGACTCGTGCAGCGCGCCCTCTGGTGGCCGGACTCGGGCAGCGCGCCCTCTGGTGGCCGGACTCGTGCAGCGCGCCCTCTGGTGGCCGGACTCGTGCAGCGCGCCCTCTGGTGGCCGGACTCGTGCAGCGCTCCCTCTGGTGGCCGGACTCGTGCAGCGCGCCCTCTGGTGGCCGGACTCGTGCAGCGCGCCCTCTGGTGGCCGGACTCGTGCAGCGCGCCCTCTGGTGGCCGGACTCGTGCAGCGCGCCCTCTGGTGGCCGGACTCGTGCAGCGCTCCCTCTGGTGGCCGGACTCGTGCAGCGCTCCCTCTGGTGGCCGGACTCGTGCAGCGCGCCCTCTGGTGGCCGGACTCGTGCAGCGCGCCCTCTGGTGGCCGGACTCGTGCAGCGCGCCCTCTGGTGGCCGGACTCGTGCAGCGCTCCCTCTGGTGGCCGGACTCGTGCAGCGCTCCCTCTGGTGGCCGGACTCGGGCAGCGCGCCCTCTGGTGGCCGGACTCGTGCAGCGCGCCCTCTGGTGGCCGGACTCGTGCAGCGCTCCCTCTGGTGGCCGGACTCGTGCAGCGCGCCCTCTGGTGGCCGGACTCGTGCAGCGCGCCCTCTGGTGGCCGGACTCGTGCAGCGCGCCGTCTGGTGGCCGGACTCGTGCAGCGCGCCCTCTGGTGGCCGGACTCGTGCAGCGCGCCCTCTGGTGGCCGGACTCGTGCAGCGCGCCCTCTGGTGGCCGGACTCGTGCAGCGCGCCCTCTGGTGGCCGGACTCGTGCAGCGCGCCCTCTGGTGGCCGGACTCGGGCAGCGCGCCCTCTGGTGGCCGGACTCGTGCAGCGCGCCCTCTGGTGGCCGGACTCGTGCAGCGCGCCCTCTGGTGGCCGGACTCGTGCAGCGCGCCGTCTGGTGGCCGGACTCGTGCAGCGCGCCCTCTGGTGGCCGGACTCGTGCAGCGCGCCCTCTGGTGGCCGGACTCGTGCAGCGCTCCCTCTGGTGGCCGGACTCGTGCAGCGCGCCCTCTGGTGGCCGGACTCGTGCAGCGCGCCCTCTGGTGGCCGGACTCGTGCAGCGCGCCCTCTGGTGGCCGGACTCGTGCAGCGCGCCGTCTGGTGGCCGGACTCGTGCAGCGCGCCCTCTGGTGGCCGGACTCGTGCAGCGCGCCCTCTGGTGGCCGGACTCGTGCAGCGCTCCCTCTGGTGGCCGGACTCGTGCAGCGCTCCCTCTGGTGGCCGGACTCGTGCAGCGCTCCCTCTGGTGGCCGGACTCGTGCAGCGCGCCCTCTTGTGGCCGGACTCGTGCAGCGCTCCCTCTGGTGGCCGGACTCGTGCAGCGCTCCCTCTGGTGGCCGGACTCGTGCAGCGCTCCCTCTGGTGGCCGGACTCGTGCAGCGCGCCCTCTGGTGGCCGGACTCGTGCAGCGCGCCCTCTGGTGGCCGGACTCGTGCAGCGCGCCCTCTGGTGGCCGGACTCGTGCAGCGCTCCCTCTGGTGGCCGGACTCGTGCAGCGCTCCCTCTGGTGGCCGGACTCGTGCAGCGCTCCCTCTGGTGGCCGGACTCGTGCAGCGCGCCCTCTGGTGGCCGGACTCGTGCAGCGCGCCCTCTGGTGGCCGGACTCGTGCAGCGCGCCGTCTGGTGGCCGGACTCGTGCAGCGCGCCCTCGGGTGGCCGGACTCGTGCAGCGCGCCCTCTGGTGGCCGGACTCGTGCAGCGCGCCCTCTGGTGGCCGGACTCGTGCAGCGCGCCGTCTGGTGGCCGGACTCGTGCAGCGCTCCCTCTGGTGGCCGGACTCGTGCAGCGCTCCCTCTGGTGGCCGGACTCGTGCAGCGCGCCCTCTGGTGGCCGGACTCGTGCAGTGCGCGTGTGAAATACAGGATCGGCTTCAGCAAAGGAGAACTGGGAGGAATCATGTGTTTTTAATAGGAAAATAAGGAAGAGTCAAAATATTTGTACTGTATCACATGAGTGTATGTCATGTCAGTGTCTGCACAGTTCAGGATGTGTTTTTATTTATTTATTTATTTATTTTAGCATGAATTAAAAGCTAAAATGAATCTCAGAAATGAACGTTTGTTTTGATTAACCTGCTTATGAACAATTGAATTTAAAAAATAATTATAATTCTTGCGTTTAATTCTAATATATATATATATATTCAATTCAATAAAAAAATTGCTTAATTGGCATGACTGTAAATAATGCAATACTGTCAAAGCTTGGAATACATAGAATAATAATAAAAATAAAAATAATAGAAGAAAATATTATAACACAACATAAATTTAAATAAACAGTGTAACAAATTAGAATATGTCTGAACATTTGATACCTCAGTGTTTTAACACACACACACACACACACACACACACACACACACACACACACACACACGCACACACACATTACTGAGAGTCAATGTGGTGGGCAGTAGGGCAGCACACTGAGGTCAGATACAATACACACATTACACACACATTCACCTGCTGTCACTCAGGCTGGCTGGTGTATATATGTATACATATATATATAATATATATATATATTGACAGATATCTCAGACTTTCATATTTGTGTGTGTGCATGTATGTAAATAAATAAATGAACTAAATTAATAACTTTTTTACAACAAAAATGGACCATCATTGAACTTACTAAAGCTGGATGTTACATCTTGTCACTATAGTAAATTAATAACTACAAATTATGCATAATCACATGCAACTAACCCTAAACCAAATCATATAGTAGGCTAAATAGCTAATCAAAGTCCCCCTGTGGTGAAAATCCAGCTCTAATGTTGTTTATGTGGTGTTTTTAATATGCTTTAAGACACACCATGTGTAAGTTCATAAGTCGACAGCATTGCTGAGTATTTTCTGCTTAAAACTGCAGTGAGCCAAAGACAGTCTCAAAAACACGGTTTGAAATCGCTGGTGTTTCTGACGTCACAAACGACCTTGTAACCAATCAGATCAACGTGTGATCGCCAACCAGTGGATCTCTGAGCTGAGGGAGTGAGTGGAGGCGGGGCTCATTTGCATATTCATAGAACCGTGCATACTAAATGAGGCGAGGGTGTCGAGTTACATTCAAGATATTTAATATGTATAAAATATAATATAAATATTTTATATTATAATTAAAATTAAATTAAAATTTAATATAAAAAAAACATTTAATATGTCATTTTGGTGATCAAAGATGAGTTTTAAGGGATATAATTATTGATAACGGGGGACTTTAATATTACTCAGTCTTATGTTTTGATGTGTGCTCGAGTTTTACACGGAACGCGAGGCGTTGGCAACCCTGTCTGACCCCCCCCCCCACACACACACTCTGTGATGGTATGTTCCACGAACTGTCAACTGAAGGCCAATCTTTCGCTGTCATTACATGACAAACTCTGACCATACTCTGAACTGGCAGCGTTTACACCACACGCGTTTCTGATCGGCTTCTCGGAAGATGGAGGATCGCGCGCGAGCGCTCTTTTCTTTCGGGATAATCGCGGACGTCCAGTTCGCAGATATAGATGATGGGACGAACTATCGGAGGACCAGAAGACGCTTCTACAGGAACAGCGTCGCGTTGCTTCGGGACGCGGTGCGGCACTGGGAGGAGACGCGCGTCAGCTGCGTCATTCAGCTCGGAGACGCTATCGACGGACACAACAAGAGCCGCGACGCGTCGGAACGAGCGTTAGACACGGTGATGGCTGAGTTCGAGAAGAGTTCGGTGGACGTGCATCATGTGTGGGGGAACCACGAGTTCTACAACTTCAGCAGGGAAACTCTAATGGCCTCTGCGCTGAACAGCGCGGGGAAAGCCGGAGCCGGAAGTGACGAACTCATCGCGGGCGACATTTACGCGTATGAGTTTAGCCCCGCCCCCAGGTTTCGATTCGTGCTTCTGGACGCGTACGACGCGAGCGTCATCGGGAGAGACGCGAGCAGCGAGAAGCATCAGCAGGCCATGAAGCTGCTGCAGAAACACAACAGCAACGCGGACCTCAACCAGCCGCCAGGTGCTGACCTCTGACCCCTGACCTCTGACCCCTGACCGCTGTCCCCGTCCTAAACTTCAGAAGCCTGATTTAGTTTTTTCTTTGTATAAAAAAAAAAAATAATAATAATATTTGGGAAATATTTTTTTTCTATTAAGTTACATTATTATGTTTTCCCCCCCAATTCATTATAGTACTGAACTAGATTTATTTATTCACTCACTCATTTACACATTTTTAGTCTATTTCTTTTTTTATTAATTTGTTTATGTATTTTTTTTCTCTCAGTTTTCCTCCAAACAGGGTCTCTGGGCTAAACAAACCCAGTGGAGCTACAGTTGCTTATTAACAAGATCCTAACTTATTATAAACAAGTAAAATGAACAGAATGAACAATACTTCTACGGCATTTATTAATCTTAGTTCATATTAATTTCAACATTTACTAATACGTTATTAAAATCAAAGGTTGTATTAGTTAACATTAGTTACTGCACTGTGAACTAACATGAACAAACAATGAACAGCTGGATTATTATTAACTAACATTAACTAAGATTAATAAATACTGTACAAATGGATTGCTCATGTTAGTTTATCTGATGTTAACTAATGAACCTTATTGTAAAGTGTTACCTATATATACATTAAAATATCATTCAAATGTACACTCACATGATATGAAAACTCTAGACATTTCCCCCCCTGTATTGATTATTACCAAAACACAGGCAGATTACATATGAAATATCTGTAAATATAGACTGGCCACATCAAAAGAAGAACATGTAATACATGCAATAAGTGCATTTAAACAAACAACTTATCTATTTTTTGATGCAAGTTTAATAGTTAAAGACACCTAATCTAAAGTGTGACCGTTTCATTTATAAGTCTTAAGTTTTATACCTATTATACTAAGTTTTTTTTACAGGAAAGTTATTCTACACTGTAAAAAAATTAGTTTCAACTCAAAAAAGTAAGTGTTCATTCTGTGCTGCTTTAAAATGTTACGTTGAGTCAACTGGAAATGTGAAGTTGTATTAAGTGACAGCTTGGATATTTGAGGTATCGTTAAATCCAGTAAAGTTATTCTAACATTAATTGCAACAATCATTTTTTTACTGACATGACCAGCCTTATCACGCAACAGACCGTTGATTAATAACATCAATCATGTGTGCAGTATATAGTGGGCATGTGAAACATGTGCTTGGTGATTAACACTGAGGCGTTGTTCATGTGCTCTCCTGCAGTGTGTGGGCTGGAACAGAGGTTTGTGAAGTTCAATGGAGGCTTCAGTGCGGAGCAGCTTCAGTGGCTCGACCGAGTCCTGACCCTCGCGGACCAGAGGCAAGAGAGAGTCACGCTCTTCAGTGAGTATATATCTATATCTATATATCCTACGCCCGAACGCAAACCCTCAGCCAGAGGCAGGAGAGAGTCACGCTCTTCAGTGAGTATACACTCACCTAAAGGATTATTAGGAACACCATACTAATACTGTGTTTGACCCCCTTTCGCCTTCAGAACTGCCTTAATTCTACGTGGCATTGATTCAACAAGGTGCTGAAAGCATTCTTTAGAAATGTTGGCCCATATTGATAGGATAGCATCTTGCAGTTGATGGAGATTTGTGGGATGCACATCCAGGGCACGAAGCTCCCGTTCCACCACATCCCAAAGATGCTCTATTGGGTTGAGATCTGGTGACTGTGGGGCCATTTTAGTACAGTGAACTCATTGTCATGTTCAAGAAACCAATTTGAAATGATTCGAGCTTTGTGACATGGTGCATTATCCTGCTGGAAGTAGCCATCAGAGGATGGGGACATGGTGGCCATAAAGGGATGGACATGGTCAGAAACAATGCTCAGGTAGGCCGTGGCATTTAAACGATGCCCAATTGGCACTAAGGGGCCTAAAGTGTGCCAAGAAAACATCCCCCACACCATTACACCACCACCACCAGCCTGCACAGTGGTAACAAGGCATGATGGATCCATGTTCTCATTCTGTTTACGCCAAATTCTGACTCTACCATCTGAATGTCTCAACAGAAATCGAGACTCATCAGACCAGGCAACATTTCTCCAGTCTTCAACTGTCCAATGTTGGTGAGCTCTTGCAAATTGTAGCCTCTTTTTCCTATTTGTAGTGGAGATGAGTGATACCCGGTGGGGTCTTCTGCTGTTGTAGCCCATCCGCCTCAAGGTTGTGCGTGTTGTGGCTTCACAAATGCTTTGCTGCATACCTCGGTTGTAACGAGTGGTTATTTCAGTCAAAGTTGCTCTTCTATCAGCTTGAATCAGTCGGCCCATTCTCCTCTGACGTCTAGCATCAACAAGGCATTTTCGCCCACAGGACTGCCGCATACTGGATGTTTTTCCCTTTTCACACCATTCTTTGTGAACCCTAGAAATGGTTGTGCGTGAAAATCCCAGTAACTGAGCAGATTGTGAAATACTCAGACCGGCCCGTCTGGCACCAACAACCATGCCACGCTCAAAATGGCTTAAATCACCTTTCTTTCCCATTCTGACATTCAGTTTGGAGTTCAGGAGATTGTCTTGACCAGGACCACACCCCTAAATGCATTGAAGCAACTGCCATGTGATTGGTTGATTAGATAATTGCATTAATGAGAAATTGAACAGGTGTTCCTAATAATCCTTTAGGTGAGTGTATATCTATATCAATATATCCTACGCCCGAACGCAAACCCTCAGCCACGTATGGGGTTCCAACCCTGTAAGACTTTCGTTCATCTTCAGAACACAAATTAAGATATTTGTGATTAAATCTGAGAGCTGGATCACTCCTCCATAGGCTTCTAAGGGATTGAAACTGGCCGGCCCAGAAAGTTATTAAAGACATCGTTAAAATAGTCCGAGTGACTACAGTGGCTCAACCTTAAGTTTATCAAGCGACGAGAATACTTTCTGTGCGCAATTTTTTTTTTACTTTATTAATTTTGTTCTGTGTGGGCCTCGGAGTGAGTTCACGAGACCGCCACGAGTCGACGCATGTGCGAGAACTGAGAAGATGTGGTGCACACCTGACGGGTCGGTGCAGAACCCTCCGTCATGATCGTGTCCCGAGATGAAGATCACCACGCTCTTATGAGCGCGCAGGACCGAGACGGGTCTCGATGTAGTGTTAAAAATGGTTCTAAAGTGTGCATTTCCTGAATGTCCGAATCGTGAGAAACCAACGAGAAAACGTAAAAGTGCCGCACAATGAACGGCTTACCTTTCACACTTTCCATCAGATGATCGTGAGCGCCATCTTCTCAGTTCTCACGCATGCGTCACGGCTAATCCTGTAACCCTGAGTTTGTTAAACTACCATCATGGGACAGGCTCCTGGTCTTGATGTGATGTGTGATGTGTGTGTGTGTGTGTGTGTGTGTTTGCAGGTCATCTCCCCGTTCACCCGGATGCCACGGACTCCATCTGTCTGGCCTGGAACTACGAGGAGCTTCTGTCGGTCCTGCGCGCTCATAAGAGCGTGGTGATCTTCATCTCGGGACACGATCATGACGGAGGGTTCTGCACCGACCCGTCAGGCGTGCACCACATCACACTGGAGGGGGTGATCGAGACGCAGCCCGACACCAGCGCCTTCGCGACGGTGTACGTGTACGAGGACCAGATGCTTCTCAAGGGCAGTGGAAGAACCGCAGACAGAGTCCTCAAATATCCATGAGAGATTACTGTCGATGAAGGATGGCATTAAAACAAACAAACACCATCTGTATGATCATCTCAGTCTCTGCTGTCGCATCTGAGTTTCATTAACTTCATAAGATGTGTTTATGTGTAAACAGCACTATTGAGTCAACCAGTGGATCTCTGAGCTGAGGGAGTGAGTGGAGGCGGGGCTCATTTGCATATTTATAGAACCGCGCATACTAAATGAGGCAAGGGTGTCGAGGTACATTCAAGATATTTTAAGGCATGAAGAATCTTTTTTCAACGGAAAAACGTTTCAATGTGTAATTTTGGTGATCAAAGATGAGTTTTAAGGGATAAAATGATTGACTAAAGTTGGACTTTAAATAAATAAAAAATGCTGCATGTATCAGATTTAGAATTATATTTATTGCCAAATATGTTTACACACAAAGAATGATAACTGTATATACATTATATATAAATAAATATATATATATAATTTTACATGTGTGTAATTAATTACATTTTTCTTTTTTATTTATATTACTGCTGTCAAATTCGATTAATCGCATCTAACAAAAGTTTATATATATATATATACACATATATTTACAAACTGTTAAGTTGGATTGTTCTATGCATTTTTATGCCAACAACAAATGAAATAGGAGAAAATAATATTAGAAATGTCCATATATATATATATATATATATATATATATATATATATATATATATATAATGTTTATTTTTTTACATTGTATACAGACTTCTGAAAAAGTTTGTTTCAAGTTATACGTTATCTGACACAAAAAATGCCATGTTAGCTTTTGGATGATCCCTCGAGCGGGGAGTTATCGTGCACATGGCAACCTCAAACACACACACACACACACACACACACACACACACAGTTCTAAGCGGCGCAGTTCCAGTTTCTACTCAGCGAACCAGACAGTCCTGTCCCGCCTGAGGACCTTTCACCCCTGACCCCTCATTTCTAAACTCAACCGAATGGGGTGCGGAACCCTCCACGGTTTCCCCCAGTAGTGTGTGTGTGTGTGGTGTGTGTGTGCGCTGAAGAGTCGCTCTGCTGCTGCTGGAATCAAGCAGATCCACAATGGCGACTCACAGTCCCAGTAACAGCAACTCACCAACAACCCCGTGTATCAGGAGCATCAGCGCCGCGGGACCCGTGATGCAACACCTGAGCAACATGAGCAACACGCAGGGTAAGACACACACACACACACACACACACACACAACCGCACGAGCTTCAGGTGCTGGTGCATCGTGAGCTCAGCTCAAGTGTTTAGGCCAGGCCTGCTCTCTCTCTATCTCTCTCTCTTCCCGACGCGTCGTGTGTATACAGTGTCACAGTGTGTGTGTTACAGTGTTTCTGAAATGTTTTAGTCCCCGTTCTTAGGCTGCTTTGCTCTGGTGAGGCTGTAGGCCTTCTCACTGACGTGTTTGTTTTGTTTTGTGGAACCAACCCGACGCTAAATGAGCTGTTCCTCTCAGTGCTGTCCATCTAGACCACTCACTAGGGTGTTGAACACGCACCTTGTTCAGTACTGTAACAGAATCATAATGATACTTCAATGCTACATTTATGCATTAATGTTACATTTATTCATTTGGCAGATGCTATAATGTTACTTTTATGCATTTGACATATTATAATGTTACATTTATGCATTTGATAGATATTATAATGTTACTTTTATGCATTAATGTTACATTTATTCATTTGGCAGATGCTATAATGTTACATTTATGCATTTGACAGATATTATAATGTTACTTTTATGTATTAATGTTACATTTATGCATTTGACAGATCATACAATGCTACATTTATGATTTAATGTTACATTTATGCATTTGACAGATCATACAATGCTACATTTATGGATTAATGTTACATTTATTCCTTTGGCAGATATTATAATGTTACTTTTATGTATTTGGCAGACAATAAAATGTAGTATTTATGTTTTTGGCAGATATTATAATGTTACTTTTATGTATTTGGCAGACAATAAAATGTAGTATTTATGTTTTTGGCAGATATTATAATATCACAGTTGCTATTATGCATGATACAGTAATGTTAATGCTCTATAGATAAATGCATGCAGGAGTTATCAATTACATGCATAACCCAGACAGCACCACCGTGTCGGCTCAGATCCGGGCCACATCTGGAACATGTGGATTCATCGCGTATGTGGGCCGGATCTGGGCCGACACGGTGGTGCTGTCTGGGAATGAAACACATGAGCCTAAAGAATGATTAATAGCACTATTAATTTAATATCATGTGTTTTATAGCTATTAATAGCTCGTGTTTTTCCATTGAGCCGAACATTCTGTCAGTGTCATTGATTGTTTGTTGTCATTTGTAAATTATTTATTTTTCCTCCTCGTTCAGATTCCAACACATGCTGGAGGTGTCAGAATGAAACAGGTACACACACACACACACACACACACACACACACACACACACACACACACACACACACACACACACACACACACACACACACACACACACCTCATTCTTATTTACACCTTCATCATCATCTGCATGCGTTTTCATCATTGTTTTCCTTTTCCTGTAGGGTTTCAGATAAATCTGACTGGAGTAACCCAAAGTAAGCCGGTTTTCTGTGCTATTGTAATCTCTCTGCGGGTTCTCTCCAGAACACAGGATGATTTCAAACGGTTTAAAGCCAGAGTTCACTCAGAGACACTGTCATCAGTTTCGCTCCTCTTCACAACACAAATGAAGATATTTGTAAGTTTTCTGTCTAATCACCCAAAACTCTTAACGCTTCAAAACCTTCATAAAGTTTTTTAGTTTATTTTATTTTAGTTTTTATTCACATATAAACACGCATACATAGACCAATGGAAGCTCAACCGTATTTTTTTTACCATCTCTTTATGAGTGTTTTGAAGCGTCAGAGTTTTGGGTGAACAGACTTTCAAAGGAGGGTCAGAAAACTCAATTTCATTACAAATATCTTCATTTGTGTTCTGAAGATGAAGGAAAGTGTCATGGGTTTGAACGACACCAGGGAGAGTAAATGATGACAGAATTTACGTTTTTGGGTGAACTGTCGCTTTAAGAGAGCCACTTATGAATCTAATAGTCTAGAATAATTATGACTTTTTTTGAAGAAGTTGTGATTAGTGCGTGTCCAAAAGATATAGCAAACAGCACTTCACTAGTTGTTTTCAATCATCTGGAATCATCTCTCATTTTTTATTCCCATTTTCATTTCTTACTTCCTGTTAAATTAGTTTACTGTGTTTTTAAATGCAAAACATGAAACTGTGAACATTCTTCTCCATCACAGGTAAACGCAAAGCACTAAAGTTAAACTTTGCCAATCCACCGGTCAAACCGACCACTCGTCTGCCCATCGTCACGCCGGCTCCTCCTTTCCAGAATCCACACATGTGAGTGCGTCACCACACACACACACACACACACACAGCTCACTCGTGCCATATTTGATGTTACATATGCAGAGAACTATAAGTGATGTTGATTTCCCCGAGCTCATCTCAGAAAATCACTGTTTGTTTGAACAACTCAGCTCTGGCTCGACCAATGGTGTGAGTTTGGGGGCGGGGCTACCGGTTTGCCCAGCCAATAGCAGATGGGTTCAGGAAATCAGTTTGATAAGTCATTATTTCTGCATGTAAAAAGCCTCTCGATGACTTTCAGAGAGCGTCTGCGCACACACAGCATCGAGTCCTCGGGGAAGCTGAAGATTTCTCCGGAACAGCACTGTGACTTCACCGCCGAGGACCTGAAGGATCTGGGAGAGATCGGGAGAGGAGCGTACGGCTCCGTCAACAACATGGTGCACAAGCCCAGCGGGCAGATCATGGCCGTCAAGGTGATGCACATGCACATACACTACTGTTCAGAAGTTTAGATGTATAATGTAAATCAGCTGTTTTCATTGTGAAACTACACTCACCTAAAGGATTATTAGGAACACCATACTAATACTGTGTTTGACCCCCTTTCGCCTTCAGAACTGCCTTAATTCTACGTGCCATTGATTCAACAAGGTGCTGAAAGCATTCTTTAGAAATGTTGGCCCATATTGATAGGATAGCATCTTGCAGTTGATGGAGATTTGTGGGATGCACATCCAGGGCACGAAGCTCCCGTTCCACCACATCCCAAAGATGCTCTATTGGGTTGAGATCTGGTGACTGTGGGGGCCATTTTAGTACAGTGAACTCATTGTCATGTTCAAGAAACCAATTTGAAATGATTCGAGCTTTGTGACACAATGCTCAGGTAGGCCGTGGCATTTAAACGATTACACCACCACCACCAGCCTGCACAGTGGTAACAAGGCATGATGGATCCATGTTCTCATTCTGTTTACGCCAAATTCTGACTCTACCATCTGAATGTCTCAACAGAAATCGAGACTCATCAGACCAGGCAACATTTCTCCAGTCTTCAACTGTCCAATTTTGGTGAGCTCTTGCAAATTGTAACCTCTTTTTCCTATTTGTAGTGGAGATGAGTGGTACCCGGTGGGGTCTTCTGCTGTTGTAGCCCATCCGCCTCAAGGTTGTGCGTGTTGTGGCTTCACAAATGCTTTGCTGCATACCTCGGTTGTAACGAGTGGTTATTTCAGTCACTGTTGCTCTTCTATCAGCTTGAATCAGTCGGCCCATTCTCCTCTGACCTCTAGCATCAACAAGGCATTTTCGCCCACAGGACTGCCGCATACTGGATGTTTTTCCCTTTTCACACCATTCTTTGTAAACCCTAGAAATGGTTGTGCGTGAAAATCCCAGTAACTGAGCAGATTGTGAAATACTCAGACCGGCCCGTCTGGCACCAACAACCATGCCACGCTCAAAATGGCTTAAATCACCTTTCTTTCCCATTCTGACATTCAGTTTGGAGTTCAGGAGATTGTCTTGACCAGGACCACACCCCTAAATGCATCGAAGCAACTGCCATGTGATTGGTTGATTAGATAATTGCATTAATGAGAAATTGAACAGGTGTTCCTAATAATCCTTTAGGTGAGTGTATAGTAAAGTGTAATTTATTCCTGTGATCAAAGCTGAATTTTCAGCATCATTACTCCAGTCTTCAGTGTCACATGATCCTTCAGAAATCAATAATAAAATGAATAAATGAGGGTAAAATAAATGAATACTTTCATCAAAAATACAATTCATGAAGGTCACATTAAATTGATCAAAAGTGAAAAGACATTTATATTGTAAAAGATTCTATTTCAAATAAATGCTATTCTTTTGAACTTTCTATTCATCAAAGAATCCTGATAAAAAAAAAATGTATCACAATTTCCACACAAAAATGAAGTGTTTCTGAACTGAAAATTCATCTTTGATCACAGCAATAAATTACTTTACTATATATTCACAGAGAAAACAGCTGATTTAAAGTGTAATAATATGTCACTGTTTTTAGTGTATTTTTTATCAAATAAAAAGCTTTTGAACGGTAGTGTTTATAACGGAGTGTCTATTTCCACCGAATGCAAACAGCCCGCCTGATTGGCAGTTGTGAGTAACTCCGCCCACCAGTGTTTGATTGACAGGAGAAACCTGTCTGAGAACAGCAGTGTTGTGGAGAGGCGTTTATCTGAAGAAAAAATTAAGAAAATATTCAAAAAGTGCAAATAAAGTGGTATTTAATGGTGGGAATAAAGTGTTGAACGAGTAGAGTTAGGGTTCGGTGTAAGACAGGAGACAAGTAATGCCCTAATAAAGCAGAATGAATTTATGATTTTAATAAATATAATCTTATACACTCACACTGTTTTATAATGTACTACAATACACTGAGATAGCAAGACGTATCTAATAACTTCTTCTATTACTGTTTAGACTTGGTGCACATAGCCACTGCAAATAATAGGCAGGTTTATTTATATTGCACATTTCATACACTATGGTAATTCAAAGTGCTTTACACAGAAAGGAATTAATATAATAATATAAAAATAAAAATAGAACTAGTTTTTTTCCCAGTCATTTTATGGTTTAGGATGTTCCCACAAACACTGACCAGCATCCGCCCAAACGGCATTATTTTTATGTGTGCAGGTCTTAAATAATATCTTCAAAAGCCTTAACTTTGTCCTTAATTTTAAAACCCCTGCAGAAACCCTGTGTTCGAGAGAAACCCTGTGTTTGAGAACCGAGAGGAAGATGATTCTGTGTGATTGTGCTTGCGCCCTCTAGAGTCAGACAGACGCCACTGCTCCTCAGTCGTTCTGTTCTAGGTACAACATGAACAATTTAAAAACATCCGCAAGAATAGAATCTGCTTCTGATCAATAGTTTCATAATTGTCTGTCAAAGCAGAAGTGAGAGAGGCTCTGTTCGTCTAAACGTGCGGGGTGTGTGTGTGTGTGTGTGTGATCTGTATCAAACATGTATTCATTACTTCAATGAGCTCATTGTTTCTGCATTAAATTATTACATTGTTTAAATTAATACATTTTTCACTAACTGTGATTCTGTATATGTACATTTCTGAAATGCATAACTCAGTCAGTCTCCTCTGATAACAGATCACTGTAAACTGTAATGTGGACTCATGCATTTTCTGTAAAGCTGCTTTGGAACGATGTGTACTGTGAAAAGCGCTGTACAGATAAACATGAGTTGAGTTGAGTTGAGTTGTGTTCCTGCAGTGCAACCGCTCCACTGTTAGTAGAGTAGTTGAGGAGTTGAGGAGTTGAGGAGTTGAGGAGTTGAGGAGTTGAGGAGTTGAGGAGTTGTTGAGTTGTTGAGTTGAGTTGTTGAGTTGTGTTCCCGCAGTGCATCCGCTCCACTTTGAGTTGTTGAGTTGAGTTGAGTTGTTGTGTTCCCGCAGCGCATCCGCTCCACGTTGAGTTGAGTTGTTGTGTTCCCGCAGCGCATCCGCTCCACGTTGAGTTGAGTTGAGTTGAGTTGAGTTGTTGTGTTCCTGCAGCGCATCCGCTCCACTGTGAGTTGAGTTGAGTTGTTGAGTTGTTGAGTTGAGTTGAGTTGTTGTGTTCCCGCAGCGCATCCGCTCCACCGTGAGTTGAGTTGTTGAGTTGTTGAGTCGAGTTGTTGAGTCGAGTTGTTGAGTCGAGTTGTTGAGTCGAGTTGTTGAGTCGAGTTGAGTTGAGTTGTGTTCCCGCAGCGCATCCGCTCCACTGTGAGTTGAGTTGTTGAGTTGTTGAGTAGTTGAGTAGTTGAGTAGTTGAG